TAGCCTGGTCGTGGATATGAACACAAGGCATGGCATTGCCACGCACTTGCGCGCACACTGACCAACACACAAAACACGTCGCTTGCCACGCGTCACTTGTGACCTTGCGCTGCAAACAATGTCCCCCGCTCAGCCCCCGTCACACACACCCACACACAGCCAACAAAACACACACAGCCACACACACACACACACGCACCAACACCCACACACACCCACACACATACCAACTCTCACACACACACACGCAACAACACACACCAACACACAATTACACAACACACCACACCAACACACACACCAACACACACTTACAGTAGTCACTTACACAACACACAACACACACAAGCACACAAGCACACAAGCACAAGCACACACACACACCAGCACACACACACACACATGCACACACGCTCTTACACACACTGTGCACGCACACACACACACACACACAAACAGTTCACAAACACACACGCTCTCTCACATGCACCTACGCACCCCAAATGAAGAACTACATGGCCCTACATCCCAAAAGGAACAACAACTATGGGCTAAGGCTATGAATTAACACTCCGTTTGACATGCAGCATCAACAACAATGATCTGGAATTGAATACCAAGTATGCCAAGACAAACTCGACTACATCCCTGAAATTGAAACCGCCCTGCCAAGTGTCCGCAGCGACCGTTCCCAAGATGTTGTCCACCTCCATGTCCACCTGGAACTCCTCGAGCTCGTCGTCGCCAGAACTGCCTGCGCGCAAGTCGGCTGAGTCTGCGTGTTGAATCACTCGGAACTTCCGACTCACCACCACTCAAAAAAGGAGAACTGTCCAGCCGAATTAGCTACCATATGAGACCATATGATGATTCTGAATTCTGACCATGGCATCTTCGTGTTACAGACACAGACTACAGATAGAACTTAAACTTACAACTTGAAACTTCCGGCAGCTTACGTGGCCTGCGCCGGACGCTGCAGCGACCGCGGGCGACCCAGCAGTAGACCTCGGGCGGCCCTCCGTTGGTGGCGTGACCGGCGCCGTGTTGACGTTGGTGTCCAGCAAGGTGCACGCGGCCCCAGGGGCCCCAATCTTCTGATCAGCTGGCGCTGGTACAGTCTCGGCTGGGTCATCAGCTGGCAAGGCGGCGTCCAGCGCCGCTCCAAAGGCCGCAGTCTCCTGATCAGCTGGTGCTGGGATAGTCTCAGCAAGGGCCGGATCAGCCGGCAAGGAAGCGTCCAGCGCGGCTCCAAAGGCAGCGATCTCCTGATCGGCTGGTGTCTCAGCAAGGGCCGGATCAGCCGGCAAGGAGGTGTCCATCGCGGCTCCAAAAGCCGCAATCTCCTCATCAGCTGGTGCTGGGATAGTCTCAGCAAGGGCCGGATCAGCCGGCAAGGAAGCGTCCAGCGCGGCTCCAAAGGCAGCGATCTCCTGATCAGCTGGTGTCTCAGCAAGGGCCGGATCAGCCGGCAAGGAGGTGTCCAGCGCGGCTCCAAAGGCCGCAATCTCCTGATAAGCTGGTGCTGGGGCAGTCTCAGCAAGGGCCGGATCAGCCGGCAAGGAAGCGTCCGGGGCGGCTCCAAAGGCCTCCTCCTTATCAGCTGGCGCTGGGGTACTCTCAGCAAGGTCCGGCAAGCGCGTGGGCAGCTCAGCAAGAGCTGGTCGGGAACTGCTGGCTGCATCGTCCGGCTGGAATGGGTCCTGGGCAGGAAACATTTCTATCTACGCACTGTACACTGTGCTTGGATCATTTGCACGGTGTCCTGGGCGTCCTGGTCCACATCCTCTTTGGGCACACCTAATTCGAGCACAGAGGACGTACCAGCATCGAGACCAACAAAATCAAGCCTACAACGTGGAACAAAAACATCATCCCAAAAAAACGGCTGTGGAGCAAAGGTGCTCAGCTCTGGCTTGCCGAACAGCTTCTCGAAACTCTCGGCAGTCGGAACAGTGTCGAAACTCAGCGGCGCTTCGTCCTTGGAAGGCTTGGTCTTAGCCTTCGCAGCTCTCGACTTGGATTTTGGCGCCGGCTGCGCACGCTTCGGCATGGCTTTGAGCTGGCAGCCTGTCAGGCGCGGCGTCCTCACCGCTCCGGAGCCGGCACGTCTACAGCCGAACATCACTCAGGAGTCCGTGATAACCGACTGCAACGGTGCGACTCATAGTCCTGAGACTGGCTCATGACTTGCGATCCGATTCACAGATGTGATCATGGTTTGACTCTATTGTTTTACTCAGATTCGATCAACTCACTACACTCTGGGTCCGTGCAATGTTTTTCTGCTGACGATTGTCCTGGTGAAGGCGTCTACCCCTAGCCTAGTTTCACTACATTATCTCACCTGCCCAGCAGTTTGAACCCCGATCCACGGGCAGGCGCTGTACAAGGTCGATCACTACTTGACAGATGTGACACGAAGAAGGAAGCAGCTACTCAAGTTCGAGGGAACCATCAAGCAAAAACATAATATTGAAACCAAAATCACGGTACTATTTCAAACGCGGGTAAACTGGCACGGAAACACAAACTCGGCCCCGCAGGGCGCCGTGAATGGGTGTGATCTGATCTGACTCGGCGTCGATGTGGTATTTTCCCAACGGCAAAAATTTAGAACTGACACGCTGCAACCTTGTGTGAGACAACGGTGCTGAAGCACTTGGAGATTGGACGTCACGGTGTGCGACGACTGCATTGATCAGACTTTAATTGTGTGACTGTGTGACAACTATGCACATGCAGGCGGCCCCCTACTTGCGAGCAGACCCCTTCCGTTCCACGGCTGAGGTCAAGTCTGTTAGCCTGGCCTGGATGAACCCGGGAAGTTCCAAGCCATGCTCAGCCACAAAGTCCAGAGCGCTTTTCCTCAGAGTTCCAAAACAACATGTGGCTCATCATGTGACGTGGGAAACCTGTGTGAACAGAACGAGACAGTGCTGTAAAAAAGAGGGGTCCGGGTTTGGAATACGTTCGCACACTTGGCTAAAAGTCTCAGTTGCCACCAAGTGTCGCCCTGCCACTTGCCTCTGGCATGAATCTTGCCGCAGCCTTGCTACCCAATATCCGCAAGGATGTGGAAGACGCAATCACCAGTAGACTCTGGCTCAGACAGTTGCAGCCCTCAGTGAATCTGGGAAAGATGCGATCCTGGGGCAGGTCAAGGCTTGACATGACTGCCCTGGCATCACTGATCCCGCGTTCCAAAGCCTCCGCTGCCTTCATACAGTGTTCACTGCCACCGGCATCGCACGCAGCATGGAACTGGTCAACATTGGACTCGCAGAGGTCCGGTATGGTCTGCTTGACCGTGTCGTGCAAGGAGATTCCATCGTCGATCTTCTTGGCGACGTTGCGCAGCAAGTTCTGCAGCAAGGTCAGTCCGCCAGTCAGCGATGTCTCCTTAGAAATGCACAGGGCCGGGCGTAACATCGAATCTTATAATTGAACTCAGCTGACTCAACTCACATATATTTATATGTGATGTGGTTGTACAAGTTGTACATAGACGCGGATGTACTGATCCAACTATTCCAGAGCTTAACGCACCACCGATTGACATCCGGCACAGCCAATTCAACTGGCACTCAAACAGAATAACTCGCTCTCTCAATGGCCAAACCAAGCATCAAGGAATCCAGCAAACTTCTCAAGGGACACGGTGCGGTCATCAGAACCATCCGGGTTCGCCCCATACAGGAGCCTGTAGGCCACATGCGCAACCGCGAGAAAGGTGTTGACCTCGATGCGCATGTTCAGGATGTCAAGCGTTGCCAGGTTCAGCTGACAGTCACTTGCCAGGCGTTTGAAGCTCGTGATAGTCGCCATGTGGTCGGTGGCGGCAGCAGTGGTTGTGTAGACCACAAGGTTGCGAACCAACCTGATGGCGGCTTGCCAGTCACGACGAGCTTCAGCATCGGTGAAGCTCGTGGCAAGCAAAGAAGCCGTGTCACAGCCCTCGAGGGAGCTGTCAATGGCGGCCTTGCTTGGCGCCTCCAAGCAGGATTTGGAGATGTAGGCTCCCAGCAAACTCACCGACTGTGACAGCGAGTCCTGCAGTCTGCCCTTGCAGAAGGTCTCGACCATGCCCCTCACCTTGACCGTGACAGGTACCAGAGCAGCTTCGGCAGCTGGGTCAGCTTTAATCAAGTTGTCACAGGCCAACATCCAGCTCTCCACCGATTTGCACACGTTCCTGGGGTCACTGTTCTCGGCCAGCGCCTTGACGTGGTCAGACATACCCCACGTGCTTTCCACAAAGGCCATCGCCACGGTCAAGCGGGGAGTGGCCGTCTTGTGCGGCTTCAGGGTCGCTATGTCAAAGCCCGGGATACGAGGAAGGGTGGAGTCCGCGACGAGTGTGGTGTAGGCTGATCCCAGCCAGGGTGTGAGGTCATTGACTACATGCAAATGGGTGACCTTGTCGATCACGTCACACATAGCCTTCCTGGCTTCTTCCAACGTTGCCTTGGCAGTTGGGCGTTGAAGCATCTACAGTAATGAAATCCAACATCGTGTCCTACAAGAGGCACAACCTTAGACTGAACTTCTGATTGGGAATTGCACCCATATTATTTGGTGGCTCGTGACTCGTGACTTGACTCGCAACGCCAATAACGAGGGAATTGGAAAAGTTATCGTGCGGTAGTGAGTTGCAGCTTGTGGCGGGCGATATGGCAACGGCTATGAATCATAGTACTACTGTCTCATCGAAACAAGTTACTTTCTCCGACACCTCCTTGAGCTTGGGAAGGGTGTCGTGCATCAGGGCCATGAGCTCATTAATCTCTGCCATGCGCGACGCTGAGCACGAAGTCCAAGCGTCACTCGCCTTTGTCATCGCCAGGGCGCGACCATGAACTGATGCCAGTTGCTCAAGATGCTGGTGTGTGAGAGATCTTTCCTTGGCAACACGTGTCGCGTGTTCGATGAGAGCCTTCCCTTGTTGAAGCCCTTCGAAAGATGGCAGCAGCTTGTAATCTTTTGACGCTGCAGCTTTCCTCACCGCTTCCACCGCTGTCATGACCATGTTGGGTGGACGAGTAGATGGGGCAAGGATCAAATCCATGCACTTGAACTCGTCGCAGCACTGCTCCTCCATCGTGAGGTGTGTAGACATGTGCCTGACAAACCCGACCAGCGCCGCCACTTCAGCGCATGAGGGATCTGACGCCTCACAGCGACTGACAGCAACCCCGACAATACAAAATTTGAAAACTCAGTACCACACATACACACGCTGGGCACCTTGTCGGTGGGGATGCCTCGTAGAAGACGCTGCAGTGTCAGAGCGAGCTGCTTGATCAGCCAAGAGACAGGCTCTGAAGAATGGGTGGCTGCCATTCTGAAGGAGACGCCCAACATGCGCTCCCAGCGGCGCCATCGGAGATCGTCGGCAACAAGCCCCTTCAGCACTCGCATGTGGACGCCCGAGCTGAAGGTGGCATACTGCTCCTACACCCGAAACAGCATAACATAAGGTAACATAACTACAACATAACATCTCAGAGCCTACATCCAGGTACATCCGTTTGTAAACATCCATGTGTGATTCTATGACTCCGTGGTGATTCCGCTGGGGTGCGCAAACTGAAAACAACGGCTACTACTAGGCCAAGGCACCACTGACAACATCAGTGACAGGGCCTCGTCCCCCGAGAACGCAGCTGTCATCAGCATTTTGAAGAAGGAGTGGGATTGCTTCAGCACCTTTTCGAGCTCCGAGCACTGTTCCTCCAAGTGAGCTGTGTCGGAGTTGCGACGTTGCAGATTCCGTCGGCGGGCACGTGCCTGGCAAGTTGGTCATCTAAGGGTCTCAAGTTGTCTATGAGTCTTTGACTCTATGATGTTGACACTTGGTCCGGGGGGGTTCCTGGTGAACACATTGGGACCTATCGCAAAGCCAGAGGCAAAGCAACTCAGTGCAAACGAAAACCTGGCAAGCAATGGTGTTGGCCCCGACCGAGGTACAGATTGAAGAAGTTTGCAAACGAGCTTGATCTTGTCGCTGAACACATTCTTGCACTCAGACGCAAGCGCGTCCTCATCCATGGTGTGCGCGAGCGAGACGGCCAGGACCTCTTTGATCTTTGCCACAGTGGAATCGTGCCATTGGACGTCCGACTCGGAGTGATTGGGCGCAAACACATCGGGTTCAGGTTGCTCAGGAGCAGCTTTGCGTTTCGAAGAGCCCTCGCCACCGGAGGGGTCCAAGCTGACATAGCACGCCCGCTTTACAGGCATGTCATCTGCGTGTGCATCGCTAGTTGCCTTGCCCCTCTTGCTCCCCTTCTTAGGGGCTGCTTTGGCTTTCGCAGCTTGTTTTGGCGCAGCTGCTGTCAGACGGAAAGCAGCCCATGAAAAATTTGATTCAAGATCATCTGATCTTTCAGCTGCGAGAGCAGGAGGCCTGATGTCACTCAACTGGAGCGGTAGGGCTGCAGGCGCGGCGGCCATCGCGTTGAGGCTGGACATGTTGCTCGCCTGCTTGCCAAAGATGGTGCTTTTCATCTTCTCGAAGATGCGGTCTGTGGAGTGCAGCTCAGCTAGCTCTGGGTCGTTGACCTGTGACGTCTTTGTGACTGCCGCTGCTGTCTCATCCAGGACCTGGTACACACCACTCTGCCCGCTCTCCCATCGATTCTTCCAATCGATTCCTGCCACACGCACACATGCCTTCACCGCCCCGTCGACTTCCTCATAGACAACTGAAGCCGCGTCGGGCTGGAGCTGCGTGCACTCGGCGTACACACTCAACTCCGCAAGGAACGACATCGGCTTCAGGATACGCTTTGTCTGAGACTTCGCGACAGTCACCGACCTTAGCGCTACGAAGATGTGTCAACTGTGTGGGTTGAAACAAGCCTTGAAGACACAAACACACATGCACCTATCTACCAACATGTTATGCCAACTGAATTGGACTGCGGGACGTCTGAACTCCAAGCTGGTCCAGTGATCGGATCCGCACAGAGGGATTAGAGATCTTGAGCTCGATCAATCGGGCTGCTTGCTGCTGCCACCTGAGTCACGCGACACATGTGATGCATGTGTCTGATGGTCATGTGGCGAGTCGTACAAGTTGTCGAAACTGATGTTTGCCAGGATGCACATGTGCCTTGGTGGGATCCTTCAATATCAGCTGCTTACAGCGTCTGATGTTTCCCACCTCATCCGCCCAGCCACCAGCGTGATGCACCTTAAACCACTTCCGCTGGGAAAAAACAAGATGGGGAAAATGAAGCAAATACGTAAAACAATCATGGGCAATAAGACAAAGCACTGTGGTGCAGATTCGGCATGTCAATCCGCTCGGCTCAGTTTTAGTACCAAGCCCCCATGGCAGAAGTGGGTGCCACTTCTGATGGTCTCCTCCTGATAGGCTCCATGGCGCCAATGATGTAGACCATCTGCCGCAGAACTGGCATCCTCAGGTGCAACAGCTATCCGACCTCAAGCAAACTCACCACGAAACCCCGCAAAAATAAAGCTACGCAGGTCTGCTAAATTCTTGGAAAGCGCTGAGAGATACATATGAGCTGGGAAGGCCGGCGTCCGGCGGGGGCGGCGGCGCCTCACTGGGCTGCTCTGGAACCTCCACATGAGCCTGCATGGCCATGCGGACAGTCCGAATTCGTGAACTTGCGCGGTTCTAGTTGTAATTGGAATGCTTGTGGAGCACCAACGCTGCGGGGCGTTGCAAACTGCACACCTCAAATCGATCGCATCTACAGTGCAATTGGCCACTGACATTGTTCAATCAAGCAAGCAAGCAATCAATTGCTCAATCCATTTGGCAATCAACCAAGCTCACCAACAATCATGCAAGCAAGCAAGCAAGCAAGCAAGCAAGCAAGCAAGCAAGCGTGCAAGCAAAGCAAGTCAAGTCATCAAGCAAACATTCAACCACCAATCCACGCACTTATGTTTTAGGCTTGGTGTATTTAACATAGACACTGTATGTTGTCTAAACAAATCTTAAAGGCATGTGATAGTAATATATAGTATATAGAATATAATATACTACAATAATATTATAGTATAATATAATATTATATATTGTACAAGTTATTAGCTAACATGACATCAATATCGCATTGGTTGAGACTAATAGTCTTGGAGTTGCATAGAGTCACGGCTCTGGCGCTTGCTTGTTTGCTTGCTTGCTTGCTTGATTGCTTGCGTGGTTGCCTGGCACAAACCATGGAGTGTTGCAATAACCTCATGGTATAAATCAAAAAGAAACAACCTAAAGAACATCGGTTTGTAGGAGGCATTATGTGTCAAATGTCCCACCGCCACGCATGTTTAACATCATATTCCTGTCTCATATTCGTATGACATCGCATTGCAGCTTTGATTGACACGAATAGCTGCGTTTGTGTGTGGGTTTTTCAAGAACAACCCAAAGGGAGTTTTACGGTGGTTGAGCATCGCTGCATCACCGGCACCAGGGGGGGACCCCCCCCCCCCCCCCCCGCCCCCCCCCCCCCACCCCTCCCCCCCCACCCTCCACCCCCCCCCCCCCCCCCCGCTCCCTCCCCTCCCCCCCCCCCCCCTCCCGGACGTGTCGTCGCACCACCGTCACACGGCCGTCGCACTGCCGTCGCACCGCCGCCACGCCGCCGCCGCACCGCCGTCACGCCGCCGCCACACCGCCGTCACACCGCCGCCACCAGAAAATAAGGTCTAGTTTAAGGCAAACTAGACCTTATTAAGGTCTAGTTTGCCTTAAACTAGACCTTATTTTCTGGTGGCGGCGGTGTGACGGCGGTGTGGCGGCGGTGTGACGGCGGTGCGGCGACGGTGTGGCGGCGGTGTGACGGCGGTGTGACGGCGGTGCGGCTGTGAAGTGATAGTGGGCTGTCAGCCATGTCGCAGGCCGAGGAACCTCCACACCTCATATATCTTATCCAGTCCGGAGTTGTCACAACACCATATTCTGACAAAACACTGCTCATCTCTACTGAACCAAGTAATGGATAGTGTGACTCATACATCAGTGTAAAATACTGTCTTACCATGTAGTCATGGAATTTAAACTTCACGCATATTGCGTGTGCATTTCATACTGAGCGTGCATATCTCTAACTTGCATCGCTAATGATAACATGAAATTATCATGAAATGGTATCATCTCCAAAGGCACACCTTCTCTTGCCGCAACGGCAACCAGGACCGGCTTGTTCAACAACCTGTTCCACATAAGTGTACTCAACAGGCAACTTACTATCACAAGTAAATGCGCTAGACCCGACCATCAAAACACAATGTATAGTGTGCGCATGATGCATCATTTATTGCGCTACATGATGAAACCACTAACAGTTCCATAGTGTAAGGTGTAGTTCAATGGGTTTACAGGTCATTTACTACAAACATGTGTCACTGCTAGGATAGCCGTAGGAATATGAACTGTTTCAAATCACAAAAGAGGAATGAGAGCGAGTGTTGGGAAAAAGAGTTTTGTTGGGGCAGGTGCGCAGCATTCTGCAATTGTCGTAGTGCTGTACTTTGCATAAACCATATGTACATGTGGGTGCTAAATAAACATCCTACACTATTGAAGTATGATTGACATATACAATATGATAGATATGATATATGATATGATATATGATATATGATATATGCAGATGCACATACAAGCTATAAGATGTAATTGCAAAATTGCAAAATATGTTTGCTGCAGAAAATATGGTATGGTATAATAGAAGAAACATATAATAGAAATAATGATAATTACTAACATTAATAAATAATAGCTTAAATCATATGTCACATGTCTATTAAATTTTGTATATTATCACAATCATAAATAAATGAATTAAATGAATCATAGTCATACTGATACTGAACCATATCATATGAATCATATGAATCATATCATATCGTATCACATTCTTACGCAACTGTGATATACAGGGTTGCTTTGTACAGAAGTAGAATGTGGGTGGGATCTATGTAAATGTACAAGAACAACTTGAGTGTAAGAAAACAAAATTAGTTGGTTCGACTGCGATTCGACGGCGATTCATCTGATTCGTGTTTAGAGCACTCAGATAGTCGGATGTCGGATCATTGAATGTCGATGGATCAGCATCTGTAGCGATGCACCACAAACGGCGGGAGCCGGCTGAAAAAAAAAAACTAGCTGCGGCCGGATGTTCCGGCCTTCGCTTTCGCTGATGCTTTGGCCTCTGCTGCAGCTGCCGCCGCCGCCTGGCGCAGTTGTCGCCTAAGCTCAGCCAGGTTGCGGGGGCCGGGGCGTCCCTTCGGGCTCACGCGCCCCGTGCCCTGGCCAAGGGCCGGGTTTGGGCCACGTGGGACTGACGGTGACGCTGATTGGTTCAAACGCCGCCTGATCTCCAATGGTGACAAGGAGCATCTGCGGCGTTTGGTCCCACGGTGCGGCGGTGTGACCATCTCGGCTGCAGGAGCTGGTCGGAC